AACTACTTTTCCCTTTATGCAAATAATTTGAAGTAAACTCTAAGGCTAGGAAAAAAAATACACATTTCCCCAAATTAATGAAGATCAAATATATCGAGGAAAAGTGTGATGTTTTAGCAAACGAGAACCTGTTTTTTAAAAAAAAAAAACAAAAAACTACCCTATAAAGAACTATTCAAATAGTCAGTTGACGTAATTTTTCTTTTGTAAGACATTTATAATTACAAATCAAACGTATCCTATATATGTATTAGATTATTCTATATATTATAAATAGGTAATACCTACTTAGTTAAGTATTATAATCAGTTTGAACAATTTCTTAGAAGATAGAGGAAATGACTCTGATACTGAAAATGACTCTGATCAAAGAGAAGTTGATTAGCAAAGTACGTGTAAGACATATCTTACCAAAAAAGGCCCAAGTCACATTAAAAGTATTTCTGAAGAAAAGGAACAGAGCACATAAGTAGGTATAGTTCAAGGCAAAAGAGAGAAGGCAGATTTAAAAAGAGTCAAAAAGAAAGACTTATGGCATTAACTAGATAGGTATGCCAGTTAGCTTTCAATCTACCCTTCTCCCTGGCCCTGAAGTCATTTCTCCTTTGCCAGCTGCCACAATGTTAAGCTTTGTCAGTAGAGGGCGCTGGTGGGGACGAGGGGACCTCCAGGAGAACAGGCATCACTTCCTGGATCAGTTTTTTTCCTTTACTCCTGTGCTGCGTAGATGGCGTGCAGGACATCAAGTGTGTTTACCTCAGCAACTGTCAGTGGCATCCCTGAAGGTGGTTTCCCACTAGGTTTCACCACAAAGGGCAGCTCCCAGCAAGTCTCCCCAGAACCGCAATGGGTAATTCCTGCTTGCCAGCTCTGGCCCCTGACATCGCATCTAGCTTCTCTGCCATGGAGTGGGCCATAGCCACACTACACCCACGCCAATGACAGCACCATGATATGACCATCAGCCTTGGGATGGGGCTGGGGAGGAGCCTGCTTCTAGTTAGTCCCTTCCTTGGATACCCTGCCTTGGTCCTAGATGTAGCCGTTACTACCCATATCCATTATTCTTATACTTTTTAAAAAATAGTCCTCCTTACCCTTTAGTAGTTCCTTGTTACCAGTTAATAATTTCTTAAAATTTCCTTGTTCAAATTACTGGTGTGGTTTCTGTCTCCTGATTGAACCACGACTAGCATATAATCTAATACAATCACAAGGAGAAAGACGAGGCGATATCCAAGGAAACTAATATATGCACAGTGAGTTCCCCAGTTGGTACTGTAAGTAGCTAACAAAAATGATGCATACAATGCATTTTTAATAACACAGGGGCATCCTTATGATATAATGTTAAGCAAAAAAAAGCAGTATTTAGAGCATATTTTTAACAATGTAAAAACATAGAGGAGAAAGAAAATAGGCTAAAATATTTAAAGTGACTGCCTCAGAAAAGGTACAATTTTTTCCTTTTTTATGCCTTTTGCTACTTTCTAAATATTCTACCGCCTCAAAATTCACCTACAAAATTCAAGGGATAACATATAATAAACACAAAACTAGCAGAAACATAAAAAACTTAAGGAAAATTGAAGCTCAGAATAAACTGTGTCCCACAAAAACGCTATTTTATAAAGTTGTAAGAAGCCTATAGAAAGCTTTTGTTACTCATTTTGTTAACTTGGGGGCTGTTCAGGAGTGTGTTCACTTTATCTCTGTACCCTGAACACATATGTTTTTTATTTGATTTGTATAGCATGCTTCACAATTATTTAAAAAAAGCTATGTTTAGAGCAATAATAAAAAAAGAGGCCCAATGCCTGAGGAATATGGCATGAAATTAACAAATAAGAGAGAGAAAGGCAGCTTATTCTAATTTCATACCTCCATCTAGAAGAATCTTTAAAGTAGAGAGCAGGATAAATAGGCAAAGAACCTAGCTATTAAAATGAGTTGAGTCTGGAACCTCAAACTTGTACAGCCAGATATCCCATCATTGTCATCTCTGAAAAACCTTAGTCTGTCTGAAAACATTCTTCTGATGAACATTACCTGGCAGTCTGCCCGCCGCGAGTGCATCCCCTGGTAAATGACCGTTCACACCATTAGTGGAAGGATTGTTCATTTGACCCAATAACCCACTTCTCATCTCTAAATCAGTTGGGTATGGTCTCCGAGGGTCCCCTAAAATGATGAAGACTACTTTTAATTTAATCATACATTTAAAAAGCATTAATACCTTCTTTGAAGTATTAATTTTCCTTGGTTCACACCGAAAAGCTCAAACTATACTTTCAACTTTGAAATATGAAAGTCATCCTGTGAATTGTTATTAAGGGCATAACATTAATTTTTTTAAAAACATACATGTTTAATTCTCTGAATCTTCCCAAGAATATGCTATTTTCTATGTTTAGTAAACACTCCAAATGGCAACTTAAGAAAACTATAATGATCTAGGTTCTAAGTTAACTTCATTTTCTAGTAAAAAAAATACCAATGATGTATACTGACAGAAAACAGATCATGACACTTACAGAAAGGACTGGAATGTTTATTAGAAGGACTGTCTAAATTAAGACGTTTTTCTAACCAACCTCTTTGATCTTGTCATTTAGACTCATTCCTATGACTTTCTAGTGGAATATCAAAAGCAGGTAATGTTTATTCCAATCACAAAAGCACACTAAATAGCAGTTTGGGGTTGATAAAAAACATAGCCAGATTTGGACCAACTTTTTGGTAGTGTTTCTCATCAACTCCAGATTACTCACCCCCAAAATTATAGTTACCCTTAGTGCTTTCACCATAGAATACCACCTTCAGGAGTTACTAAAGTGGAGACAACTACCTCCCATTACTCCAATAAAGCTGCTCTGTTTTATGTTTTATCCACTGTCAATATAGTTGCAGCTTATTACTCTCTTTGCTGGTTCTTTTTTTTCCCCTGTGTCTTTCTGTGGGTCAGTCTTTGTTGTTTCTAATCATTCCAGCTCTTTCTCAGCCTATGTGTCTGCTGTTGGGTGCTCAGCGCTTTCTCTTTAACACCTAAGAGAACTGGGATTATCTGTTTCTC